CTCATGAAAGGAAAAATATCAGTTCACTTTTAAACCTAAATCGTTTCTGTATCAGTTCAGTGTTAAACCTAAATCGTTTCTGTATCAGTTCGGTGTTAAACCTAAACCGTTTCTGAATTAAATAATTTTCCTGTTACAATACCAAAGTTGTAAAAATATAAAAACTAAACTTTTTAATAAATGCAGACGCTAAATTGACAAATCAACGATGTGTTTTTGAACGTGTTTTCAGTTTTGCTGTCTATACATTTTATTTTACACTTTCAGTACATAGACTAACAACAATATCAGGTTTACTGTTGTTGCTAAGTGATTATTTAACATAAAAGCCACTATGGAATGCAGTGTTATGAAAAGAGAGACACTGGCTTTTATATATATATTAAATGTAGGACTTGCACTAAAAACTGATACCATTACATTTGACATTCTACCAAATATTTCACTCACACCTGTAATGTGAATATTGGCAAGATTAGGGTTTGAGAGTATTTTGTTCTTTATTATTAACGGCTTGTTTTGATATTGTAATCGGTTACTTAGAACCTATTGACAGATTTGAGGCTTTTTTTTTAGGTGGTTTCTTTCAAAACGTGTCGTAGTAATTGTGTCTTAGAGTTTATTACGTTCACATTAGTACTGAAATGTTAGTTCTTTCTCTCAATAGTTTAACACTGAATATTATGAAAAACAGACAGTGAGAGGTGGTGTTTAATTGTATTTCACATTTTTTTGCATTAACTTATACATTTTATTGTAAGAATTCCAAAATAATAAAAGTCTTTAAAAAATGTTAATAATTCTTAGTTTTGTATATTATAATAACTTTTATCACTCATTTTGTTCTTTGAAATTTAGAAGCAAAAGCATCAGACAGTTTGTATAGTATTGTTGACCTGCCTTTTAAAATGTGCCATGATCGTATTAGTTGTTACTTTAAATACACATTGTTAACCTTCCTTTTAAAATGTGCCATGATCGTATTAGTTGTTACTTTAAATACACATTGTTGACCTACCTTTTAAAATGTGCCATGATCGTATTAGTTGTTACTGTAAATACACATTGTTGACCTAACTTTTAAAATGTGCCATGATCATATTAGTTGTTACTTTAAATACACATTGTTGACCTACCTTTTAAAATGTGTCATGATCGTATTAGTTGTTACTTTAAATACACATTGTTAACCTACCTTTTAAAATGTGCCATGATCGTATTAGTTGTTACTTTAAATACACATTGTTAACCTACCTTTTAAAAATGTGCCATGATCGTATTAGTTGTTACTTTAAATACACATTGTTAACCTACCTTTTAAAATGTGCCATGATCGTATTAGTTGTTACTTTAAATACATATTGTTGACCTGCCTTTTAAAATGTGCCATGATCGTATTAGTTGTTACTGTAAATACACATTGTTAACCTACCTTTTAAAATGTGCCATGATCGTATTAGTTGTTACTTTAAATACACATTGTTAACCTACCTTTTAAAATGTGCCATGATCGTATAAATATTTTCTTCCTCATTACCTTGTTTTGTTTTGCGTACTGCACGTATTTATCATGCTGCTATGATTTTACTATTTTCCAGGTCTTATATTTGTAGTGGATAGTAATGACAGAGAACGTATAGGAGAAGCCAGAGAAGAACTAATGAGGATGTTAGGAGAAGATGAACTAAGAGATGCTGTTCTCCTTATTTTTGCCAATAAGCAGGTAAATTGATCAGTGTTACATGTCTTTGTAGTATCCTTTTAAATCCAGAAATGAAACAGTCATGTAAATCGTTCAACATTATTAACTTTATCAGTTTGTCATCAGTTGTAGACAGTAAACAGTTGAATCAATTGACTGTTGAAAACCTAATGTTCTTATAAGGATCCTGGAAAACCAGAGAATTACTTCAGAAGAAGTTGGTAAGAGTCCTTGGGTATTACAAGATGGCTCTGAAAACAATGAAACTTATTATCTTTTTTTAAAAAGATAAACGAGGAAATTCCAGGACAGAGAATTACTTCAGAAGAAGTTAGGTAAGAGTCCTTGGATATTACAAGATGGCTCTGAAAACAATGAAATTCCAGGACACTCCCAAGTGTTGTATGCACGACTCACAGAAACAGACATCCTTTTCCTCATAAGTGTGCCTTTCAGTCACCACCTAACTAATAGACAGTATAGCTCATGGCTTCTTTTGGACAAAAGTGACCACCACAGGGTGCACGGTCAGCAGTGTGAGAGATCATTTAACACTGCAGTTGCGTAGCAATCTACCCCGACAACTTGAAGAAGATGCTAGAAAACAGTAAAAATGCCATGTGTGGAAAAC